CATCATAAATCGCTCTTTCGGAAATTTTTGCAGCCGTAATCCGGCACCACCGCCATAGATCGCACTCATTTTTTCACGGATCACATCTGTAATCCGGTTATTGATAATTTCGGTAAGCAGATTAAGCTCCGTTTCATCATTCTGGTTATAAGGCGTATTAAAATAGCTCATCTCATTAACCATGCTCTTAGGTTCTGAACCGATCTTAATCGTCAGTGAGTTTTCGCCGGTAACAGGTTCAATACCCAGATCCCGGGTCTTGCTTTCAATAGTCTGGTTGCCTAATCCACCAATATATTTCTCCACCAATGGCTTGAAGCTGGCTTCAGGGATACTGCCCACAAAGAAGTAGTTCATGCCATTGGCTGTATTAAAGCGTTGGTTATAAAATCCGATTGCATTGTTCATCTTAATCGCATCATAATCGCTCACATCGGGAATTTCCTTCATTCTCGGGCTATTATGATACATGAACTTATTGAGGGTATCGCCGTAGAAGCTCTGCGGATCGGATTTCATTTGGGCGATCATCTGCTGTTGCCTGTTCTTAAACGATGCAAACGCCGTCTCATCAATACGTGGAGCAGTACATTTCAGGTATAAAAGCTGCATCGCAGTTTCAAAATCCTTGACGCCTGAACTGCCGCTGATCGCATCGCTATTCAGATCAACCCAGGTATTAATGCTTACTGTTTTTCCCTTCAGGAATTTCTGCAGGTCCGTGTTTGAAAACTCACCATAGCCCATCTCATCCACTACATTATTACAGTAATCAGCACTTTGATAATCGCTGCCGGTGTACACGGAAGAACCGCCAAAACGATAACCGGAAAACAAGACCTCATCATTTTTAAAATCGGTTTTCTTAAAGGTTACTTTGGCACCATTGCTGAGCGTCCAGGTAGTAGTGCCTGCCTTGATATCCTTTGTTTCAGTAACCACTTTACCGGCTTTTGGCTGCTGTGTGAGCAGGCTTGATGGCAAGGCCTTTTCTTCATAAGCGGTCACCTGGGCATTCAGGCTCTGATCTACATAAGACTTCAGGTCGGTATCTGATGGCAGCTTATCCCCGGCCTTTGTGGTTACCAATGCGAAATAACTCTTGTCAATATCAATATGGTCTTTCCACTGATTTACTTCCGCCAATGTAATTTTTGACAGGTTGTTCTTTACCAGGTTGTACTCCCATTCAATGCCAGGTACCGGCTCATTGGTCAGGAAGTGCCTTACCAGCTCATCAACGCGGGACTTAGATTCAGTCTTATCGCGCTCGTTATAGCTTTTTTCATAACCGGTCAGCATAGCTGCTTTGGCACGGTCAAACTCAGCAGCAGTAAAACCAAACTTTTTGATCTTCATCGATTCCTTAACCAACGCTTCTGTGGCAGGCTGTATTTTATCAACACCGCAGATGGCAAATAACTGGAAGCTTTCCCAGCCGCGTG